ACACACACACACACACACACACACACACACACACACACGACAGATAGCCCTGTCCTCCACAGCAGGGGGTTCAGTCTGGGAAGAGTGAGGCGGCGTGGCACGGGTAGAAAGGAGAGGCAAACCAAACTCCGATTGAGGGTGGCAGAGACCGTGCAGCTTTACGGAAGCAGACAGCCTCATATTTTTCCTCAGGAGCCGGGCTGGTTTTGAACTGCTGACCTTGGGGTAAGCAGCCTAACCCACAGCACCACTAGGGTTTGGCAGGTGCTGAATGAGTGGAGCCATTACTAATAACACAGCTGAAGCTCACTGAGGCCGGCGGCCCCGAAGCCTAGTCTCGGTTTTCTGCCTACGCTACTTCAGGTGCCCGACCACCTTCTGCCTGGCTGCCAAAGTCACGGCTCTGGAGGCAGCTCGGACAGCCAGCAACGCCCCTACAGCACGGAGCACAACTGCCCCAGGGTCTGCAAGGCGATTCTCTGGACAGAAACAAAGGGCCACATCTTGCTCCTGCAGGAAGCTGGTAGGTTCCAACCTCTGACCTTTCTGTCAGCCTCCAGCTTCCTGGGCTCCTTTGCCGACTCCGTTTCTCCCCTTCAGAGAAGGCCTTTTCTCACATCGCCCACCCCTGCACCCCTGCAACTTACAAATCCCCGCCACTGTTCCCCTGCCAGGCGACTCCCACTGCCCCGTCCACAGCTCTCGCCACACTTGAAGCAGCTTTACTGAGACAAATGCCCCCTCCGTCCCCAGTGCCTGCACCCAGATTCCAGCCCCAGTGGGTAACAGATATGCTAGGCCCTCCAGCTCTCCCTCAGCCCCAGAGCTGTGGGTCTGATCGGTCAACCCGGCCAGCCTCTCGCCCAAGGCCCCGTGAGGTCCCCGATGGTGTGCTTGGCAAGTACAGGACATGTACTCACAGATCCCCGTGAGCAAGCAGGGGTAGCCTCGGGCATCACGAAGCACCTGCTGGGAGATAGGAGCAGCCCTGGGTTTGCAAGACCCTTCGGGGAGAAGCTGCAGCCACGGGGTGGGGATTTGTCGAGATGTGCTTCTTCGGGGAAGACGGAGCTTGCGGCAGGCAGAGTACACACATCTGACGTGCGTGGAAGGCAGCCCTGGGCCAGGTGCTCAGGTGTGTGCGCTAACATCGCTGTGCCTTTTGATTCTCCCAACAGCCCTGGGACGTGGGGTTGGCACTCTCATTTCAAAGAAGTCTTCACTCGCTGCCATCACGGCCCTTCTGACCCACAGCCACGCTACGAGACAGGGTAGAACTGTCCCTGTGGGTTTCCAAAGTGTCACTCTTTATGGGAGTAGAAAACTTCAGCTTTCTCCAAAGGAGCAGATGGTGATTTCGAACAGCTGACCTTGAGGTGAGCATCCCAATACAAAATCCACTAGACCGCTGGGGCTCTAGTAACTAGGATATTGGAAAGAAATTTAGCAACTTTTGTGGGAGATTGCACCGCTCCGAACAAGCCAAATGGAGACTGAAAACCAGGCAGGCAGGCTCCCGAGCCTGTGCCTCGCCACTAATTACTGTCATTGCAGTACCAGCCCACAATCCTTAAGCATTGCAACTTTACACAGGTTTTTTATTTAACTGTACCCTCACCATAACCCTGCGGGGCCAACCAAACCAGTAAGTGTGATCCCATTTTGTAGAGGAAGAAAGAGAGGGCAGAAAGAGTAGAGAGCAGGCTGGGTTGGCACAGGGGCTGGTGCTGCCCACATGCCCCTCGTACACACAGCGGGAGCATCTGTCCTCCCAGCTCAGAAAGGCAACAGACTGACAATCACCTGAGTCCTGTGAGCAGCTGAAGCCAGTGTCCCCGGTGCTGCTGCTGTGGCCCAGGGGCTGTCCGCCGGCCATGAGCGCCGTGAGGTGTGGCGACAGGCCCAGGTCTGAAAGACAAGGTCAGCAGTGAGGGCTCAGACACAAGGGGACTGGAGCCAAGACCCTCTCTCAGCCAGCCCTCTGTCCTTCTCAG